CTCTGCCGCTGGACCCCACGGCCCCCGGCCCTCCGCACTGTGGCAAAACCCGAGACGTGAATCAAAGAAACCGCCTGGGAATGATCCCGCCATTCCCCTTTCTCTCCCTGCCTCCCTCACAGATTTTAATTAAGGGTTTACTTGCAAAAGACCTAGCTCTATTTAACTAAATCCTTGGACCCCTCTTATATTGTCTTACATATCGTTTTATGCAAGGGCGCCAGTAAAAAGTTAATTATAACTTCTAAATACTCCATTACTGGGCCCTCATCTGCCTCCCCTGCCCGATTCTGCAGGGTGGTACCACTTAATTAACTGGCTCATCATGTGCCTTAGAGACCTCCCCACGTCTACTCCACAAACACCGGCCACCCTCCGTGGACTGAGGACCATGTCTAGACCCTCGAGAGGCTCCTGGGATCCTGCAGGAGGAATGGGAGCCTGGTAGGTGGGCCCCCTTGGGTGCCACAGCAGCTGGGCAGGTGGTACAAGTGAGTGGAGGGGATAATTGAGCAGGACAGACAACAGTGGGGTCAGAACAACAACAAACGGCAGCTGTGGCTGGGAGAGCCACATGGAGGGCTGCAGGGCCTATGGGCATGGGTCAGAGGTGCGGGGCAAAACAAGTCTGAAATCCTGGTGGACAGCCAGGAGGAGGCCGAGAGACCTGAATCCCACTGGATCTCAGACATCTGCAGGTTTGGGTGGGAGCAAGAATTGGGGTCTGTGAGTGATTATTGTCTGGAAAGAAGGTGGTTGAGAGACTCCAGGTTGGCCCTGGCAGGAGAAAGCCTGGAGCGGAGAAGCTGAAGAAGAGCGTGAGGGAGCGGCCTGGAGACTGGGGAGGCAAGCCCAGGTCGGAGGGGCCGGCGTCCAGGCAGCAGAGAGCCGGGCGAGAGCAGGCCTGCCCGGGGCCTCCAGGCCAGCCCCCTGAGGGCCGTGCAGGGGAGCTGGGGTGGCAGCAAGGGCTGCGGAGGCCCTCGGCATGGGGTGGGAGGCCGGCCTGGCCCCTGCCACTCCCAGCCAGCCGGCTTGATGGCATCTTGCAGATCCCAGCTCAGGAGTGGACAGTTCTCGAGGATGTGGCTGTCACTCAGAGCCAGCAGCCTGGCGTCCTTGCCTTGGGGGGATGCAGGCTGGGGGCCTCCAGGGTCAGCTGCTTACTGGGAGGTGGGCTGCTGGACCCCCAGCCTCTCCTCCTGCCCTCGGCACCTCTGCTCTCCATGGGGTGGCAGGTGGGGCCACATGCCCACCTGGAACACCTGGCCCCCTGGGTGGGGTCCAGAGCACCTGCTGGCCCCAGCTCCTCGCCTCATCCTGGAAACCCCGGCTCAGCCTCCACCCAAGCCTTCCCAGACCCTCCCCAAGTTCCGTGTTGCAACAGCCACAGCTCAACTACATCAGAGCCCCGCCCTCCCCAACGCGCCCGCTTACGGTCCCTCCCAACAGCCCTGCTGGGGACGCAGTGACAGCTCCCAGAGCACCAGCGTGCCACTATCCTCCTGTGGGTCCCGAGCCCATGGATCTGTCCAGGGCCTCCCTGGGCCAAGCACTGGCTGGCACTGAGGCTGAGGCTCTACCCTGCCCTCCAGGGGCTGGCGGTTGAGGGGAGGCCAGGAGACATGAAGGCACAACTAATTCCCTGCCTTGAGGTGAGGGCTGCCTCTGGGCATGGACAGGAAGCTCTGGGTGCCCAGAGGGAGGAGGGACCAGAGCTGCCAGTGGGGCGGGGAGGCTTCACCACACTCCTGTCCCTGGCCACAGGGTGCATGTGGACGGGCACCCACCCACCTCCCGAACACTCCTCGACTCACACCTCTCTGCTCCCGCCTCAGGACCTTTGCAGCCGCTGTGCCCTCTGCCTGGAATGTTCCTCCTACATCTGCCTCCTCCTCACCCTTCACGCCCTGTCCAGGTCACCACCTCAGGGAGGCCTTCCATGACCACCCAGACAAATGGACACCAGCTGCCATCAGGTCCCCTGAGCCAGTGCTTCATCCACTCTAATGTCCTTTTACTGCTTCTGTGACTCTAAGGATCCACTGTGTCCCCATAACTGGAATGGAGATCTTGTCCCTCACTCCCAAGTCACCCTAGCACCTGGGGCACGTGGGTTCTCCGTGAGGTATGCTGAGTGGATGAATGAATGTTTCCTTCATTCTCTCCTCTGTGTGTGTGTGGATGTGTGCGTGTATGTGAACTGCTGACAGAGCTGAGATCATACATCAACATTTCACAGAAACTCCACTCCCTTTTGCATATAAGCTGCTCTACCGCTTCTCCCGTGGGCCAGGTCAGCCGTCTGCTCTCCTGTGGGACTGACCCAGGTCCTCTGCCTCTGCCCCAGTGCGTGGCAAACACCAGTTCGTGAGATCAATAATAACATTTACACAGGACTTTACAGTTTGTAAAACTTGATCGCTTCTCCCTCCCAATGGAGCCTCAAACAACCTACCTCCAAAGAGGCAAGGGGGGACCAGCCACTCCCATTTAAAATAAGGCCCCTGGAGTCCCCCCGACAGGACGCAGATGCAGGATGTCTGGCCCCAAACAGTGCAGTCCACGCCTTCACGCTCGGTCGGGAAGGTCTCACCAAGAGCAGGAGAGGAGAAATACAGGAGATGCCAAAGGCTGGCTCAGAGCCCAGCCACCTGGGTTCCACTCTCAGCTCTGCCACTTACTAGCTGTGGGACCCGGGCAAGTCACTCCACCTCACTGGGCCTCTGTTTTGTCCCCTGTAAAATGGGGGTGGCAACAGGACCTGCCTGCGGCAGGAGAATTAAACGGTTTAATAATGTACATGAAGGGCACCAAATAGCACCCAGCCCACACTGGTGCTCCCTGAACTCCAGCCCTCTGTAAAAGCCTGGCTGTCCGGACACAGCTCCGTGTACCTCATGACGCACCTCTCGGCCACGACCACCACCTTCTTGCAGACCCGCACCGCCAGCGCCCAGAGGGGCCCTCACTTTGTGCACTGGGCACGTTTAGGAAGCCCATGCAAATCCCCTGCTGCTCAGGCAAGGGGCAGGGGGGCTCCCCTCCTTCCGTCTGAAGCCCCCACCCCACCTCACTTGCGTGACAAGCACTGACATCTGCAAACACTTCAAGGCAGCAAAGGAGAGAGGCTGGGGAAAGGGACCTTTGGCCAGAGGAAGGTCCCTTTGTAAGTTCACACTTCAACTTGCTATAACCCGGGAAAATGAATGAAACCAACTCCAAGCGCAAATTAGGAAGAAGGCCCCCAAGTCCCCACGGCACATTGTTTGGACTTCTGTTAAGAGGTAGGGGGAAAGGTATTTCCAAAATACCCATCTCACTGTGCTGGCCCTCCCAGGCACCTGGTTCCCCAAATCTTCGAAGCTATGGTCAGGCCCAGCCCTGTCACTCTCTCATTCTTCAAACCCCCTTTTTCCGGCTATAACACATCATGACTCCTCTCAAATATAAACCGGCACCCCTTGGCCTCAGCTGTCCCCTCGGCCTGGACCAACTCCCTTCCCTACACAAACCTGGTCACGGCCCAGCCCAAGGCCAGCTCCTCCTAGGAGCCTCCCCTGCCTGGGACAAAGCCAGCATCCTCCTTGCCCTGCATTGCCACAGCAGGTGGCACCCACCCCCACTGCTCATGCTAACATGTGGTTCATGTCATTCACTTGACGGGAGCACATCCTGGGCCAGGGTCACATCAGAAACAGTATCCACCCCTCAGAACCTCAGTGGAGGGTGAGAAGGGGGTTGGGGTGGGGGGCAGTGACATCTCTACTAACTGAGATGAAAACAGAATCTGCCCCAAACAGCTCTTCCCAAAGTTCAACTACGCAGTGGCAGGAAGGGGCCTATCTCGCTGCACCTGGCCCCCAGTAGGGGCCTGGCTGACAGTGACTCCTGTAATTGGCCTGGGACATGGACACTTGGCTCAGCCACGTGGAGCCTCACATCTTTTGAGACCCACAGCAAGGCAATAGGAAGCCAGCCTGGGGGAGGATGCCTCCCAGCAGGTGGCATGGGCTAGGAAGAAGCCTGGGGCAGACCCACCCTGCAGGGGCAGACCTACCCTGCAGGAGCCAGAGCCTACCCCAGCCCTCGGGGCCCTTGATTAGAACTTACTGTTTGAAAAATCAATACTTAACGCTCAGAGCCTGCCAAGCGGAGGGGAAGGCCTTGCTTGTAAATATTTGTCTCAGCTGGCAAAGCCAGGCCTCTACTCCCCTGCAGCTACCCCGCCTGGCTCCTGGCCCCTGGCTCCAGCAGCTCCTGGCCAACCACTCGCGGGACGCCCCTGGGGAGCTGGACATCTGGCAGCCAGCCGGCCAGCCATGTGACCCCACACCCACAATAGGCCTGCACACCAGGCCACCCGGGGGCCGTCTATCTGTCCCTGGAGCTGTGGCAGAGACCACTGGCTATGAGATTTCTCTGGATCCCAAGCAGGCTGCTTTTCCCAGGGGGTGCCGCAGGTGTGTCTGTTTATTTAGGAGAAAGTAAAAGCCGAAGACAAACCCTGGCAGTGTGCTTGTAAATTGTTGTGCACCACCGCCTGTCGCATGGGAGAGGGCCCCTTGCCTCCACTCACAGCTGGCCTGCTGGGGGCCCCGGAGGCCTGGCGGGTCCCCACCTTGGGGAAGCTGTCTCAGTGGCGGGTGGCTGAACCGATCTGTCCAGCTGAGTGCATGCCCAGGCACCACTGTTCCCAGAGAGCCATTCACTCATTTGCCAGTTGTTCACTCATGCACCCATCAGTTAGCCATCAAGCACCTACCTATGACAGGCACTGAGGGCTGGACACGCAAAATCCCTTTGGGAGTGGAGCTCCCAGGCCAAAACACGCACACGCAAGTCGTAGCCAAGACAAGTGCTGGGGCAGGTGTCCGAGGTGTGACAGTGAGTGACCAGGTGTGACCTAGTCTGAGAGGTCAGGGAAAGCTTCCCAGGAGGTGGGCAGGCAGACAAGGCAGGGGAGGGGCCTGGTCAGGGCAGGGAGGAAGGCCAGCACCTACCAAGCCACTCATTGAACTTCTTCACCTCGCTCGGGAGCCCCAGCTCCGTGAAGTCCCCGGCGTGGATCAGCACGTCGCCGTAGGGCATCTGGATGGGGTCCGTCCTGGAGTGGGTGTCGGACACGCAGACAAAGCGTGTGTAGCCAGGCGGCTTAGGGGCATCGTGGGGCACTGGGTCCACCCTGCGGGGAAAAAAGGCTGCAGTCATGGGACCCCAGGCATCTGGGCAGGCAGCCCAGCAACTCAGAGCAGGTCCAGCCCAAACAGAACCCAGCGGGCCCTCCCAGGCCCTAATCCTGACTCTCTCACCCACTAGCAGGCAAAACGTCTTTTCCCCTGAGCCTCAGTTTCTCCTCTGAACCCCAGGAGGTAACAAAGGAGGGTGACGGTGCCTGGCAGCTGCTGGGATCCCTTCCACGATCCTGCCATTTGGCTACAGCAGGTCTCTTAACCCCTCTTTCATTATCACCCCTGAGGGCCTTTTTAGATGTTTTTTTCCCTCCTCACCCACCTCCCATGAAATTTTGACACCACAGATATGCTGTGTATCTGTTCATGTGCTGTATGTCTATCTGTGCTTTATAAAAAGAAGAGTATGATTTTTGTCACTCCCCAAAGCCAGTTCTCACACCCTTGGAGAGTGCATGGACTGAAGTCCACGGTCCAGTTGAAAGGACTGGCTCCCCCGTGCTGTGCAGAGCAGCAACCAAGGACAGCCACACGCGAAAGGGGAGATGGCACAGGAGCGCGCGAATAAAGGCTCTGAAGACAGGCAGCAACTTTTCAAAATGATGAGGGGGTCCAGTCACTCCTAGAACAAGGGCTTTCCAGGGATGTGTAGGGAAGCAGTCCTGGAATCAGAAGACCACACTTCAAATCCCAGCTCTGCCACCTACAACCGACATGTGACCTTAAAGCAAAACGCTCAGCCTTGGTTCACTTGTCTGTAAAATGGAGCTACCACGCTCATTATCAGGAAAGCAATCAGAAAATTTTTAAAAACTGCACAAATGTAAATTCTTGGTTCCTGGACCCCATCCTAGCCCTCTCATTTCACCGTTGAGGACACTGAGCAGCGGCCCCAGGGTCCCAGGGAAGGGGCCAGACGGCAGGATGCGAGCCCAGCTCTCGCTGGGGGGCCAGCGCTCCCCGACCAGCCTACCTCCTCAGCTGAATGATTTTGCCAGGCTCCAAATTCTTAAAAACAGCACAATGACATTTCAGCGAGCAGCTCTCTCCGAATGAGTATGCCGCTCGAGGAGTTGTGTTTAAATCTAATTATGCGGCAAACCAAAAGCGGTACCATATCAGTTACATAAATACTTTTAAAGACATCTTTCTAATTATCCTTTTTTTTTTCAGACAATATACTTCGAAGAAATTTAATTAACACCTTACAAGAGACGTGGGTTCAGCATGCTAATGTGCAGGGAGCATTAGCACGCTCAATCCGCACAACTGGGGGGTTGAGGGGGAGCGCCAAGCCAGCCTCTCCCCATCACGGCACAGGAGGGAGCGTGTTAGAATCCCAGCAGGTCAGAGCTGGGTGGGCAGTGAGTCCAAAGATGACCACTACATTCCTCCTCCCTCTGCACTCATTGATTCGTTCATTCACTCATTTATTCATTCGTTCTTTCATTCATTCAATACAGTGCATTCTGACCACCTGCCATGTACCAGTTCCGAGCTCAGTGCTGGGGCCACAGGGATGAATGAGGACTGATTCCAAGACAGGGGACCCAGATTGATGGTGGAGACAGATTTGGCCAGGCAGTGATGGGGCAGCAGAGGGGCTGGGACCACAGAAGGGACCAGCTGGAGGCGATACCTGAGCTGGTATGGAAGCTAAAATCTCCCTCCCAGTAAATCCCTCCACTCCCCGGTCCTCTGGGTCCCTTCGCCTCCCCCCATGACAGACAGTCTCGCAGGTGGCCAGATGCGAATCCACCTGCCGGCCCCCAACACAGCTCATTGGGCCAAGGGCTGCCAATCGCTACTGGGCTATCCTGCCTGGCGCAGGAATGTGAGTGAGCCAGTCAAATCATTCATTCTTTCCTTCATTCCTTCACCCACACCCACCGAGCACGCCACGAGGTGACAAAAGACCAAGTCAGAGAGAAAAAGAAGGGAGAGACGGAGCAAGATGCCATCTCTGGTTCCAACAAGCTCTAGTCCTATGAGCCCCTTAGTGGAGGAGCCCTGAGCAGACCTCAGCTCCCATCCGCCATCAGCCAGCCAAGAAGCACGACCTCTGAGGGCTCTAGGCAGGCTGGGCCTGCTGCTGCGGCCCGAGCTCTTTAATTAACTCTGTTCTTTCCCTCCCCCCTGAGGCTCTGAGCTCAGTGAGGATGCAAGCCTCATAATCCCGTGAGAAAAAAATAAAGACTCATGTTTCCCTGCACTGTCCCCTGCTATTTGGATTTATAACAAATGCTCCACCTTGAAATAATAACAGGAGCAACACGGGTGATGCCCATGGATCCCGAGCTCGTCATGAGTGAAGCACTTCACATGCATTCGCTTCTTTCACACTCGTGATGACTGATGGACAGGGTGCTACAGGGATGCCCATCTTACAGATAAGGAAACTGAGGCTCAGAAAAAGGTTGACTTGCCCAGGATCTCAGCTACAAAAGCCAGTGGAACTGAAACTGGAAACCAGTTTTTGGTTCCAGAACTCATACCAAGTTGGACTATTTCCAGGCCCTATTCATGTCATTCAATCTGTGGATATATGCTTATAGAATGCCTCCTAAATGGGCCTCCTAGACACAAGGGATATGCCCATGGAAAGGACACCCTTACGGCCACCTTGTCGAGCTCCCTGCCTGTGTTTGGAAGCAAGGAAAAGAACAAGAATCCAGATAAAGTGAAAAAGACAGAGAAAAAGCATGTAAGATGGTGGGAGGGCCTGACAGCATCATCTGACCGCTAGATCCAGCTGTGCCTGAAGTCAGCCTCAAACCTGGTTTCCTAGCTAATTATGTGGGCCAGTAAACTCTCTTTTGTCCTTAAGACAATTTAAATTGGATTTCTGGCACTTGTCATGGTAAAACCTGATTCTGGCACCTGATTCACAGCAGTCCTATGGATTAAGTAACTGAGGCTCAGGAAAGTTAGTCCCATGTGCAAGGTCCCAAGTAGTGGGTAAAGAATAGATTTGAACCTCGGTCCTCACAACAGGAATTTGGCCATCTAACCTCAACATCTTCTTGTGCCAAGAATAAATGAAGCAAAGTGGTCATTTCCCAGTGACATTCCTCCCAGACCAGAGGAAAGATACAGCTCTCTCTCTCTGACCTGAAACCGGTCACCACCTCTTCCCTGCCTGACAAGGGACCGCCTCACAGGACTCACGGAGCAGGAAGGGTGCAGGACAAAGGATGCAGCCTCAAGCACCCAGCCCTGGGCTGGCATCCCAGCTGGGTGGTCTCCTCGCGGTGCCCTGGGCCCTTCCAGCCCCCAGACCCCTCACTCCCGGAGATATTGTGAGAACCCCGGTGACCTCCACAGCTGGAAACCCTGCTGTGAGCACCCCCTGCAGCTGCTGCCCATGCCCTGCCCCAGCCTTGGCCTCCCTCTCCCATGGCCCCGGGCTCCCTGCACGGGAGGTTCCTGCTGCCAAAACCTCCCAAGGGAGTCAGAGGCGGAGGCCACCCTCCCTCTCTTATTGCTATTTCTGCAGAAATGGGGAGTTCTGAGGGTCGGGAGGGGCGCAGAGGGCTCCTCGCTTCAGCAAGGCTCCAGCCACATGCCCAGCCATGTGATAGGCCTGAGCCATGGTGTTTCAGAACGAGGCCTCTAGCCTCCTCCTCTCATCCTACAGTTAGGGAAACGGAGCCCCACAGGTGGGGCAGGGACAGGCCGACTCAATGGCACACAACCGCCCGGTGCTCTTTGCGGGAATCACTGGCTCCGAGATGGCCCGGCCATGCAGCCCTCCTGGATCCCCAGGCCTGCCCTGCTTTCCCACCTCTCGGCCTTTGCTTTTGCTGGTCCTCCAAGCCCAGGGGTTATGCCCCCACCCCCAGGAGGCCCTCCTTGATCCCCCACTCTTCCTGGGCCACATTCCCTCTTCATACTAGCTCCTTTTTCTCTCTTCTACCCATATGTCTGCGGGGAACAAGGTTCAAGGGACCAGCCCTATGCTGGTGGAGGAGAGAGATGCTTAGGAAATTATGTATGACCACACACTGAAGCAAGTGCCATCCATGAAAGGGGAGATTCTAAGCCCCTGGAGCTGAGGCAAGGGACTGAGGGAGGGGGAGAGGGAGACCTGATCTGGGGAGAGGTCAGGGAGGGCTTCCTGGAGGAAGTTACACCTAGTTGAGATCTGAAGAATGAGTCAGTGTTTGCAGGGCAAAGAGTGGGAGTGTAAAGCCTGAGGAAGGAGGAAGAATGGAATGTTCGAGGTTTAGTCCCCTCCTCCTCTGGCCCCTTGGCCTCTGCCTGGGCTCAGGGCTGACTTTCACTTCCTCCCGGATGGCCCTCAGGACACAGATGGGCGAGGAGCCACAGGTCCCTTCTGAAGACTCAGCCTCCTTCCCTAGCAGGGGATCGGTGCGCCAACCTGGCACAGTGGGGAGGGCAGGGGACAAGACACGAAGGGACCCCTCCAGGCCTGGCACACACACTCCCCCGCTCTGCTACCCTGCTCGAGGACCCCACACATTGGACGTGCCTGCACGGTCTTAAATAGGGTGACTCAAGTCTCCATCCACAGGACTCCTTTGGAAAGCTGGAGAGAGGAGGTGCCTGGCACCCCCCCTGCACCATGGCGGCTGGAAGGCAGACCCCCTGGGTGAGCCTGTCCCTCAAGCACTGTTCTTGCCTCCTCACTGACCAGCAGGCCACAAGTCCACCTGCCCACCCGGGACGGAATCTCGGCACCTGGAGGGGCTCTCGCCAGGCCAGCGCAGGGTGAGGGGTCTTCTGTCTCAGGGCCCGAAAGCCAGAGGCCCAGATCCAGGGAGTCATTATTCAGGCAGAGGCGGCCTCGTTACCACCAGGGTCTCCGGGGGCAACTGCATAAATCACACGTCTCAGTCGGAGGCCACGTTTGGACTGTCACTGTTGTTATTAAATATAAATTGTGGATTTATTAAATAAGGCCCCCTCGCTCCCTCATCCCGGAGACAAAGCCCAGGGCGGTGATAAATCACGTGCCGGGAAGTGGCGTCTATCGTCCCGCCTCTCCCGTGGTGGAGACTCGCCATGGAAACCCACACAGCCATCCCCCGGCCGCCCGCACGCGTTCCCCACTCTCAGGGCTTGCAGTCTGAAAGAAGTGGGGAGGCAGCGGCACCCCCAGCCCCTGCACGGCTCTGGCTTCCCCAGCTTTATGCAAAGTTGTGCTTCAAAGCCAGGCTGCCTGAGCAGGCAACTAGGGAGCGCTGTACAAGGAGCCCAGTACCTGGGCTGGGTGCATGCTCTTCCCAGAGCCTAGCCCCACCCCCACCCCCGTTGCCTCTGAACCCCACTGACAGTGATAGCCTGGAATCCCAGCCTCAGGAGGCGGCAGCAGAGCAGGCCAGAAGGGATGCGAGTGGCAAGCCCACGTAATTCTGCCCTTCCCACCCTCACTGTGTGACCACAAGTCACTGAGCACTTTCTCCATAGCCCTCGGCACTACCAGTATCATATGTTATTGCATATGTGCTTGTATGACGTGTGCTAACTCTCTGTCACACCTCTGGAATGTCAGCTCAGGGTTTTGTCTTTGATCACTGCCGTGTGTGGAGCACCTGGCCGGCACGGTGCCTGCTGACAATACTGAACATTTGCTGCCTGGCCCCACTCACAGTGGATTTACCTACTTTGTCCTCAGTATTACTAGGAGCAGCATTTTACAGATGGGGAAACTGCAGCACCAGGAGCCACCCAACAACTACATGGCGGGATTCAAACCCAGGCGGGCTAGCTCAGCGCACGTATTTCTAACCAGCGTGCCGCACTGCTGCTCACTATCATCCTGAATGGATGAGTAAAGGAGCAGATGACCCACAGTTGCTCATGGATGAAGATCTCCCCTCTCACTCGGTTGTGCACTGCCCTCCCTCAGGACACCGACTGGCCTGCAAGGGCCTATGCGGCTCCTGCCTGGGGCACCTCCGCCCCGCAAAGTATGTCTGCAGTTCGCATATGCGCCCTCTTCCCAGCCCTCTCTCAACGGCTGCCCCCTGCTTTTCCTCCTCTGGATCTCGACCTAGAGGTCATCTTCTCCAGAGGGTCCCTCCTCAGGTCCCAGTCCTCCTCTCCTCCGACTTCTGGCTTCCCTCCCTCTGTTCTGGGGTTAGGGGCTGCCTGGGTGTCTGCTGGGCCCAGGCAGGGGCATTGTAAATGACAGCTCTGCAGGGGACCATTATCTATAGTTCCAGGGCCCTGCATATGGTACAGACACACCCAAACCCCACCTTCTCTGCACCAGCCCAGGGAAGGCCTCCCTCCCCGCAGCAGCCCTGCCAGGCCTCAAGGTCCCTGAGACTAATAAGTGGCATGCCAGAGAACCAGGGCCTTCCATCCAGCCCAAACCTGCCAGTCAGGCCCCCAAAATGGGAATTGGCAGCAGTTTCCCAAGTAGAAATCTACCAAACAATAAAGTAGGCAGCTACCGACAAGACCAGCCCTACAGCCCCAGTGGAAATGAGCGTGTTCCAGAACCAGGGCTGAGGGGAAGGGAGCAGGAGCTCACCCCCAGGCCTGGTGCTGCCCGCCTTCCAGAGCCCTCCCCCCACCCGTAAGCTCTCTGTGCCCACCCCTCATGAGAGAGGGAGGCCCCCGCAGGAACGACACAGGATGGAGATGCAGGGTCTCCCCAACCCCAACCTCTGTCTGGCCTGGCTTTGGAAACCCCCTGGCTGCTTCTCTAGGTGTCCGATTCTCCAGTCTCCCCAAGGGGACAGTTGCTGGAACCCCACCTTACAGCTGCTCCCTCGAGATGGTGCTCATGGCCCTAGAGGAGGTCGGGACCTGTGCCTGGCGGTCAGGAGGGCAGGGCCTGTCTGGGCCCCAAGGCCTGCAGCATCCCCATCCCAGTTCTGACCCCCTGTGCTGTCACTGGGGTGGTGGGTCTCCCCCCCTCCTCGGGGGCTTTTCAGGGACACAGACCCAGCACAGGGGCACCCCGAAAGGGTTGAAAGTAGTTCAGATGTCTGACACAGAGGTGCATGCTTCCGTACATGTCACAGCAGAAAGGTCCCAGTGTGAGCAAGCCTGGGGTGGGAGGCGGGCAGTCCAGCTCCGGGCTAACCAGCTGGGTGGACTTGCTTGGGGCACCTGTCTGAGCCTTTCTCACCAAGTAAGCCCTGCAGGGCAGGGACAATGAAGGAGGGTCTTCTGGGAATACAAGGAGCCAGCAGGGGCAGGGCCAGGAACTAACCACCTCCACCCTGGCCTGCCTGCTCCTCTCTGGACACCATTAAAAAACCCAGGGAGGGGAAAGTTCCCCCTTCTCCCAGCACAGGGTCCCAAGTCTGCTCTAGCCAAGGCCTCACTGCTGGGGCATCCCTGGCATTTCCAGTCAGCCCCAGGGGACAGGCAGCAGACCTCCCCTGTCCTCTTGTGCTCAACAGAAGCACAGAGATCTGGACAAAAGGGAGGAGGAGAGAGGCAGAAGACGGCCAGCGCACAATCACGGTCCTAGCCTGCCACGAGGCCTGTGCCAAGTCCCTTCCCTCTCTGGGCCTCAGTCGCCCTGTCTGTACAATGAGGAACATGAATTAGACCAAATGTCGCCGACCCAAATACCAGGAGGGTGCATCTGGAAACCAGCCCCCCGACGCTGCCACCAGGACACGTGGGCCTGCGGTTGCCGGGCCTTTTGGTTTTGTAAAGCAAAGACAGAAGTCTGAATTTTTATGTGCAATCACCTCATTTAAAAATATTTGTACAACAGTCTCCTGGCCAAATGAAACAGGACTGAGCCAGAACCGGCCCACAGGCTGTCACTCTGCGACTTCTCACACGTCCCTCCCAGCTCGGGGGCTTGGTGTTCTTGGGATTCCAGAATCGTTTCAGTCAACACGATCTGGGCCCAAAGACCAGGAGGCACCCCGAGTCCGGGAGCCCACCCACCCAGGGGGGCAGTCACCGCCGACACCTCGTGTCCCAGCCGGACCCCCGCGCCCAGAGCCGCCCACTCACATCTGCACGTGCGGCGGCTGGAAGCGGCCCTGGTTGATGTTGTAGAAGGTGAAGGCCTGGGTAGGGTTGGAGCTGTACTCGTCCACCTCGATGATGAGCCGGCTGTGCTGGTGCCTCCGCGCGGCCATCACGTGGGACTGCGAGAACGCCATGCCCAGGCCGCAGGGCAGCAGGGCCAGCGCCTCGGCCTTCAGGACGCCGGGGTCCCCCCTAGCGCGCCACATGGGCCTCGGCTGGCCGCCCGGGCATCTCCTGCCGCCGCTGGCCGGCCCCGAGCCAGACCTGGAAACAGACTGGGGAGACGGAGCAGAACCGTGCGACAGTTAATCTGTTTGGGATTTGCTTTATTTAATGTCAGATGAAGATTTAGAAAGAGGGAGAGGGCGGGGGAAGAGGAAAAAAAAAACACAGTTGTACAGCTCAAAAACTCATTACAAATCTTTCCAACTCAGCAGTTTGATGAATATACTTTGGTAAAAAGAAAAGGGAAGGGAGGCAGGGGACCAAAAAAAAAAAAAAAACATACACACACAACGCCATGGATGGATGCATGCATGGTCCAACATGTCTAAATACTTAAGACATTTTTTTTCCCTTCGAGAAAATCCTCCAGAGCACACAGGGTGACCGAGAGATGAAGCAAGACAATGCTTGGTATTCTGCAAACAGGTAAGGTAAGTTTCACTTTTCCGATTTGGGGAATAGCTGGGATTCTTCTCCAGCCCCACCCCCTCCCCACAGACCCCCCAACCCCACCACACACGCACACCCCTGCAAGCCCGAGCAGGCGGAGACACGGGCACAAATTCCTTCCTCAACATCAATTTTGCCTAAAGATATCTTTTAGCAGTGCCTGGAGAAGGGGTTTTCCCAGACAGATTGCCGTACACCAGCTCAGCTCAGGGGGCGGCCGTCAGGGGGTGCTGGGGGGAGATATCTACCTTAGAAAACCTTCCAGTGCCTTGTAACATTCTCAGGTATTCTGTTGTCCCCGTCAAACTTGAATCCACTTAGAACTGCCGCTTGCAGAGGCTATCTTTTTTTTCTTTTAATTGCTTTCACTGCAAAGTGCAGTTTGCATTTGTAAATACTGGATGGAAACGTCCCTTTGACTGATTGCAACTGGGCTCCGTGGAATCCTGGAAACTCAAGCCCTGGAGGAGACTTCATCCCACCCCAACACACCCACGCATCTGACACCCTGGCTAATGCCTCCTTACGTGGCCTGTCTATTTTTCTCCTTCTTTTCCATAATTATTTTCTTAGACTAACAGGAAATGCCCTGAAGATCTTTTGTTTTGTTTCAATTTTGGGTCCTTAAGACCCTCCGATGACGATTTTGTTTGCACTGCATTTAACCAAGGAGAAAATAACATCCTTTAAACTATTCCTGGACAGTCATATCCCAGTCACGTTAAACGAAGAAAAATCCCCTTTGCTTCGCACATGGGAAGAAGAATCGACATAGTCAGAAACAAATTAGATTCGGAAAATGACAAAAATTAGAGACTGGAGAACATTTTAATTACGTACAAAGGAGAAATGGATTATTAATTTTTTAAAAGTCTCGACAATCATGCCCAGGCAAAGTACAATAAACGGCAACATTCCCCTTCCCCACCCGCCCCAAAACACACAGCCTGATTCACAGCACGTACCCCTCTTCTCCACTGGGGAAGATGACAAAAAATCTGCTCTCCACCCCAGGACACACTCCTTCCTGTTCTTTGTCTTGCTAACTGACTCTGTGGGACAGAGGGCACAGAGCTGCAGGCATCGGAGGTGGGCCAGTGGGCCCTAGGACTCAAGTCCCTGCAGGAGCTGGCCAGGGCCACCTGTCTGTAACCCAAAGAGAGGCCCCAGGGCTGATGTACAGGTTAGATGAACAGGAATCCTGAGCACGGGGCCTGGCAGGTACCAAGGACCCAGCTAACATTCGTCCTTACCATTATAATCACTGTTCAGTTCAGTCAGATACCTGTGCATCAAGTGCCTGCTGTGAGCAGGTGCTGTCAGGTACTGGGGCACCTAGGGCACGGGGTGTTGAGTGTGAGCAAAGGGGCAGCTCAGGGAGCCCAGGGAACCTGAATTTTCTCAAAGGACAGCTGACCATATCACACCCTATGGAAATGCTTGCCTGGCCTGGCCCGTACTCCAGCCACACTCCCGTGCCCAGCAGGCTCCGGCCCCTGGAGGCCTTCAGCTCAGGGGAGCTGTGCCCATGCTTGGAGCCATTCAATCCAACACTTTCTCAGTCACCACCTACTTAGGAGATGGGTGTGCCCTGCCTCCCACTCACAGATGAGGACGGCCCAGCACGGAGAGGGGAAGGCTCCTGTCCGGCACCACACGGAGGGGCGCTGAGCTCCAGGCACAGGCAGCCTGCCTCCAGGGTTCCAGTTCCTTCTGCCTGGACCTCTTCACCCTCCTCTCCAGCGGGCGAAAGCTGACCCACCCCTCACCCCTCAACAAAGCCAGTATTTCCTCAGAAAGGCCTTGATCAAGGGTCCTCATTCCAAGGTGCCATGGACAGCCTAGTCCCCAGAGGCAAGGTCTGGGTCTCCCTCACTGCACCCCCATGTCAACTCCAGCCCCACCAGCTCTGCAGCCCTGAGCAAGTGGCTTAACCCCCCTAGAGGCTGCTTTCTCATCCACAAAATGGAGAGAAAAATTACCTCCTTATGCAGTAGTGAAGATTAAACGACATGACATGTGTAAACTGCTTGTTGTGGGGCCCAGGCACACAGTGAGTGCCCAATAAATGTTAGCTATTATTGTTATATTATTATCATCACCCCAGGCCTATCACAGATACTTCATAAACATTGAATTAGTGAATGGATGGATGGAGAGAGGGATGGAGGGATGGACTGATGGATGGATGGGCACAGGGACAGATGGAGGGGCAGAGTCTGTGTCTTGCCAGCCTCTTTCCCTAGTGCCCAGGCCTGGCCGAGGGTCAGGGTCAGGAGGGCAAAGCTGAAGGCTGAGGAGGCACCGCTGCTCCCCCTCACCCATCCCACAGCCCTGCAAGGAGGCAGGCCAGGCCAGGCCCAGCCCTTGTGAAGGGGCTCCCAGGACCCCCACCAGAAGCGGGCACCTGCAGGCCCTGCTGTCCACCAGCAGCTTGGGGGGATGGGACTTGGGTCGGGGGGAAACGGCTCTGCAACAGGGACTCAGCCAGAACAGGCAGGCGGCAAGGCGTCCCGGGAGGCGCTCTGCAGTGAAATGCTGCATTTCACATAAAGGGGTTCGCAATGGGCCCTGCTTGAAGAAATCAGGGAAACTGGGAACGCAGAGCCTTCTTTTAATACCCATTTAATATTTATGGAGCCGCAGCACATCAGCCAGCATGCGGAGAACACAGCCATCCACGGGGGGGGTGGGGGGGGGTGCGCAGCATTTCCCAAACAAACGGCTTCTAGCTGGGAAGCATTTACACCTGGTCCACAAACAACGCTATGCAGGCAACACAGCGGACTGTGCTGGAACCGCTGGGACCTGCCGCAGGGACACCTCCCGGCCTTCTGTTCTGGCTCTCCGTCTGGCACAATGACCTCGAACAGGTCACATATACTGGCGGGGCCACAGGTGCCAGTGGGCGGAAAGTGAATGGAGCTATGAAAGGAAGTAGAATGGGTTAATTAGTGCATTTAGTTATTCAACAAATATTTACCACGGCCCTCGCTGTAAAGAGCAGTGAGAAAGCAAAGAGGTCACTGTCCTCAAGGAATCGGTGGCAGGGCAATAAAGTAAACACACATATAAAGAAATGATACTTTCAGGTAATAACACAGGCCTGGGAAAATGAATAATGCAGGAAAGAGGAGTTGGTACCTTAATGCAGGAAATGGGTGATTAAAAAAGCCTGAAGAGGTGACATCACTTCAAATGTGCACGCTGAGAGGGAACCAGCCACACCCAGACAGAGAAGGGTGGGGGTGAGAGAACCTGGCAGAGCCAAGGGAACAGTAAGTGCAAAGGGCCTGAGGCAGAAGCAACATCGAGTTATGGTCTCTCTTACTGTTTTTGTTCTTGACACTGGTGTGCTTTCTGCAATGGAGGAGAGCCTGCGCTTCGAAGTCAGGGGGAAACTGAGTTCTGTGGTGCTCAGCTGTGGGGCCCCAGGCAAATCACTCAACCTCTCTGTGATTCTGCTGGACCCCTCTTGGGGTAACAAAGGGGGGTGAAGGGAGCCTTGTGCCTGCCCCTCCAGAAAGGACCAGTCAGTCCAGATTGGGAGGGTTGGAAAATTCCAGAAATTTCTGGGTTGAAAAATTGCCCCTATTTTTTAGGGTTAAATTTTCCAAAGTCTTCTTTCACAAGATTTTCACAAGGTTTCCCCTTTGGTTTTCCCTTCAAAGGCATTTATTTTTGGGCCTCAGGTTCCATGTGTCAGGCCACAGCTCTCACAAAGGCGCCAAGCGGTAAGCAGATATTAGGCGCCAATTGTATGAAAAGCCCTATCTAGGAAAGAAGCCCACTCCTGGCCCCAGCCCCTCTGACAGCTCCTACGGCCTGGCCTCCTCCTGCGGCAGTGCCAAGGCCAGAGCCACACACTTCTGACCAGCTGTTCCCACCCACACAGTGGGTGTCCTCATGAGCATCGAGCTGCCCACTCCTTGGACCAGCTCAGGAGGTCACACTGGGCCCAGCCTCCCTTTCACTATTCAGGCCAAGCCACCAATCGGGGTTCCCCTGCCTCTGAGCCTTCACACATGCTGTTCCCTCTGCCTGGAAGGCTCTGTGCACACCTTTCCTGCTTTGAGGCCTCAGGGACACCTGCCTCAACCTCCCCAGGCGGGTCAGGTGGCCCTGCCACGACTCCCCAGGGCTTCTCTCACCAAAGCTCCCAACACAGTCTTCACCTGAACGAGAGGCCAAATAAAACACTACAGGAACAAATACAGGAGTGGGAGGAAATGTGCAGGCCCTCGAGACTCACAAGCCCCATCCAAAGGCAGCTTGGACCTCCAGGGTCTCACGTCCTTCATCTGAAAACAGGCAGAGGCTAAAACCTCCCGCCCGGATTACAGGATGTCGAACCTGCAGAAGCAGCAAGCCAAGGGCCCAGCACACAGTAGGTGCTCACAAAGTGTCTCTTCCACCGTGGGTAGAAAGTCCCAAGGGAGCCCAGAAGCCCTGCAGGCAACTTCCAAGAATTGAGCAGACTTTTAAATAAGCGAAGAACCCCTTCCTTCTGCCTGGAAGCCGGGCTCCTGGGCCCTTCCTGCCACCCCATTGCTGGGTGAGTCCCGGCGTGTTGTGATTGCACATGTCCAGTACAACCTGC